CTGTTAGAAAGAAAATATTTCATAAGAATCAACATTTATGTCAATAATATTAATAAAGACAAATCACAGAAAGCTCCTTTCAGGCTAAATGTATGCTTCTGGGCCGTTTTTTGTTTGTTTGTTTTTAGCTTTTTCTTTATCGTAAGATCTTTGTCCCTAGAGCATGAGAGCTATCCTGACTCCACAAATGCTTCCCCATCCCCAAGTAGACTTGTCTGCTGGCCTTCCAATTCGGAAGAGGCAGCACCTCTACTGGGAGATCTTAGAAGTCACACCTTAGGTTTCCCTTCTTGTTATCAGGCACTGCAAACCATGTCCAGAATCCTCTGCTACAAGCAAGCCAGACCATAGGCAAGTCTGACTTCCAGAATTATGTCAGTAATAACTAACTCCCTGGCAGGATGTTGGTGGCAAAGAAAAACCACTAATGCACATGGAAGACATTGAGCATCTACTGTCTCATTCAATCTAAACAATAAGCCCTCTAGGACTAGGTTACTTCACTCCTTTTATTCCTACGGAAAATGAAGCTTACGAAAACAGTTAAACCTACTCTCACTTCAATATCTATGGTCTTTTTGTCAGTCCGAGCAGCTCAAATTTCAGACTGCTCTAAGCAGTTAACAGACTTCCAGTATTTTAATGTTACTCTCTCCGCTAATAAACCTCATGATGAGCAAAGTGATCATGGTTCAAAGGTCATCTCACATCTGCTCCCATCAACTGAATTTGAGGCTAAGATATCCCCATATCTGGTTATACTAGTCGTACTCTTGCACTAACTAAATTAGGACATAAATCAGTGAAGTATGAATGCAAAAAGACACTGTACTTGTATGAAAATTAAGCTGATTATTTTTGAAAATTTCAATAAAAGGGTAGCCCTATGGGGCTCAGCTGGTTAAGTACTAAGACTTCAGCTCAGGTTAGGATCTCAGGGTCTTGGGATCAGCCCTGTGTTCAGCTCCATACTCAGTGGGGAGTCGGCCTCTGCCTTCGCCCATCCCCCAGCTCATGCTCTCTAAAATAAATAAAATCTTTTTTTTTTTTTTTAAAGAAAATCTCAATAGAGGTGTGTACCTTAAAGAAAAAAAAAAAAGTGGTCCTGAATTATGTATGCGTGAGACAACTGTTAAGGCCTGGGGTAAAAAACTAACAGAATGACTCTGCATCCACTGTAAAATTCTTGCTAAATTCAAAAGAAACATTGGAAATTGTATGGAACATGGGTATTAAATGTGATTTTATTAAAAGACTACTCAGACAAACCCGTTCTCAAAGAAAAGCCTTTGGCCCAAATCCTAAATGCATTTAAGTTAAAATATCTGAGATACATATTCATAACTATCCATAATTCTTTAACTTTTGACTGCAATCGCCTATTACCAGCACCAACTATGTGAGATTAGAGGGCTTCAAACTGTAACTTAAAATGTCTAATAGACAACTAAGGAATAGAATTCTGGGGTTATACTTTTCAAAGATCTTAATGTGAAGCTTGCTAGAATAGATCTGTTCTCATGAATATATCATGTTATTCTTAGGTTCCTCAAAATGAAGATGCCAGGTCCTCTTAAAGACACATGTCACACTTTGGGTGGTCTTTTTCTTAAAATGTTCCCCCTCCCCCCCATTTGCCCCCAATAAGTTAATAATCTATAAAAACTAAGTCTTCATATACATCATTTCTAACCTAACTGCGAGGCCCCTTGCCCCAGGTCTCGCCTCCAGTTTCATCTTACTCCAAACCACTTTCTGTATTCATTTTAGTCAAATGACAGTTTCGAAACAAAACAAGAGACCACTTCTTTGCATAAAGTATTTTAATGACTCCCTTTTACCACAAGGATACAGTCCAAACAATGTGGCACACAAGGCCCCTGTTTACCTGGGACCTGATTACCTCTCTTCCAGATGTATCTCTTCACTGCCCTCCTTTCCCCCTTCCTCACTTCTTAACTCTGCAGTGCTTCTACCGTATTAAACTCCTGTCCGGGGATCCCTGGGTGGCGCAGCGGTTTGGCGCCTGCCTTTGGCCCAGGGCGCGATCCTGGAGACCCGGGATCGAATCCCACGTCGGGCTCCCGGTGCATGGAGCCTGCTTCTCCCTCTGCCTGTGTCTCTGCCTCTCCCTCTCTCTCTGTGACTATCATAATTAAATAAAAAAAATAAAAAAAAATTAAACTCCTGTCCATGCTTCCTTGCTTCTAAGACTACAATCTTCCTTTGTCCTTGCCACTTCACGCCCACCTCTGTTCAATTCCTGCTGGCCATTCAGATTTTCGTTTAGATGTTTCATCCTCTGTGAAGTTCCTATCCCCCCAAGACTGCTTTGTGTGCCCTTCCTAAGCATTCCCAAACCACTGGGTGGTTGACTAGAAGTAGTATATGCCTCTGGGGGGCCCATACGACATGTGTTGAAACAAACATCAGTTTTCTGTATAAAGATACCGGGCCTTTCCTACACATCCTGCTTTGCATGTAAGTTTTTTTTTGCTGAGCTTTTCAAGACTTCCATATTTTGGCCCCATATTGCTAATGCAACCTTGTTGAAAGGAGTTGATTATGCTAATTCAATGATAACATATTCAACATAACTTTACTCAACGTACCACTGGACATTTGGATCTTAACCCATACCTGTTCCCTCTTCCAACAAACTGTTAAACTTACAAAGAAATGGCTTTTTTTCCCTCACTGCTGGATCGTAGGTACCTATCATGAAAACACTTTGAGAGTCAGGTTTACCCTAATCCAAAATTACATTTATTTGAGAAGACTTGGCGGGGAGCAGCTAAAAGCAAACTGCAAAGAAAGAATTAGTGCAGTAAATGGGTGAGATAAGAAGGGACAAGGGAACGGGGTGGTTGCAGGGCTATCAAGAAATTACTACAATGAGTTGAATTTATACTACTTTAAAGTTTTAAATATAAAGAATGCTAAGTTAAATCTATAATGAACTGCAAGAAGATTAAGTTGGTAGTGTAACTTTTGACTATAAGACAATGTTACTGCTTGTGTTCCACAAAGACAGTGAGTCAGAAGATGCAAGCAATAAAACTCTTATATCTACTTATTTATACAGACTGAATCTCTTAAGACTCTCAATTCAGCACAGAAGGGTGTTGCTTTGGGCTGTGAACTGAGAGCACTTCCAATTGGCCCAATTTATGACTGATGGAGAGCTGCCTAAGAAAGGCTAATGTGAATAAAAAACTAACTGTTCACCCTGTACATTCAGGGGAATTATTGTTATTATTCAGATACTCTGGGCTACAACTTAACAAGAAGGCAGTCTGTTGGCATCACATTTCTAAGGAAGAAGGTCCTGTTCATCCTGCAGAAAAACACCAGGCAATTTCTATATGGACAAAGGGAGAAATAACCAAAGGGTCTGGGGTTAGCCCCTCTCAACCCTTACTGACAGGGACCACTAGGAAAGCCTAATTAAGTAAACTTCTCCAAATACTTTTGAAACTATAAGCAACTGTGAGTTGCACCTTAGAATACTTGTTGTTTAATACTGAGCAGGTATTAAAAATCTGCCTAAAGGTACACAAAACACTATCTGGCCTATGGTCGGTACTAATAAAGAGGTGTTTAATAATTGGCTCAGTAGGAAGACAGAAGATGAACACTTTGAGCAGGAACCACTTCTGGGATAGGAGAGTAAGACAGGCCTATCCTGCCCCAAAGGACAGTGTGTGTAGGTTTTGCAGATCAGGGTAGAGGTAAGGGGAAGATTGCAAAGCCAACCCCTTTAAGCCACTACCAACAAAAAGAGAAGAATGTATTTGTTCGCTCTCCTAAATTTTTTAAGACTACAGTTTTAACACAGTATCTTCAATTCAGATTAGGAATACAGGAAATCTCATATTACTCATAGGATTGGTTCTATAGGAACATCAATCCATATTCTGAGTTTCAAACAACCAACACATGATTTCTAGAATACATATATTCTAAAGTTGGGAACAACTGGAATAGGGAGAGTTCTAAATAGGCAAAACACACTAAAGAAAAAACAAACTTGTTTTACTATTTTTCAGATGAAGAAGGTTAAAAAGCTTTTGAGTATTTTAGATTGAGTTTCAATTTGAAAAGTATAAGATAAAAGCCACCTGCGTGGCTCGGCGGTTGAGCACCTGCCTTGGGCTCAGGACATGATCCCGAGGTCCTGGGATCGAGTCCCGATAGGGCTCCCCGCAGGGAGCCTGCTTCTCCCTCTGCCTGTGTCTCTGCCTCTCTCCGTGTGTCTCTCATGAATAAAAATCTTAAGAAAAAAAAAAAGAGTCTAAGATATTTAAAAAATCATGGAAGAATTTATAATCTCAGAGTAGCCAAAACTCAGAAGCCAAAGAGTACAGATAAATTAGATTGCACTTTAAATTAAATTGCTGCATGGCAAAAGTCACTAAAAATGATGGGAAGAAATAATTATTTACAATAAACACCGAGAATGGCTATTTTCTCTCTTACACACACACCCCTGTCCTATGTATCAAAAGAGCAACCCCCCTTCATCCCCAATAGGTAAAAGAAACAGCTCACAGAAAAGAAAATATATAAATGGTTATGGACCATGAAAATTCCTATTTTCACATGAACTGAAGTATCTTTTTCCACCCATAAGATTATCAAATGTCAAAACAAATATCAAAACCAGAGCTAGTAAGAGCAGGGAAAAGGACCTCCATATTTAGCTGCTGAGAGTACAAACTGTCCGAGGGCACTTTATATTATTTATCAAAATTACAACTGCATGGATCCTTCTGCCCCTAAAATTTCACTCACAGAATCGATTCTGTAGAAATACTTGCACAGATGCAAAATGATCTTGGTATTATATTACTTGTTTGTACTGGTGTGCGGCCAGTACAGCTATAAAATGGTATACTATGCAGTCATAAAACTGGTTGACTTAGGGGGGACAAGGTAGGGGGGACACTTAATTTTCCTTTACACTCTAATTTTTAATAATTTTGAACCATACAAATACA